TTATTTATTTACGGTGGATAAGTAATAAATCTTAAATTTCATTATAATCTCGAAATCGAATTTCGTCACGCAATAAGCGAATTCATATGCCACGTTGGAGAAAACATATCGGCATTTTAAAGCACATTATTACCGGAAGCAAGTAGGTGTTGGCTGTTTATTGGGGTGGAAGTTATGGCTTATTTTATATCCCCAAAGGCGCCCCTCTTTACGGATAATCAGTACGAATATAAATTATCTGTCTGGATTATGGCTAAAGTGTGCATACCTCATGTTCCATAGAAGGAGCTACTAACTATATGTAGTTGGACGTATTCGTAACTTTACAACCCGCAGACAAAGGAATCTAAAGATACGTAAGATGCAGTTTCGCTGCAATTGATGTGCATGCTGTTTCAGCAGAGTTTATGTACTTTGTTTCCTGCACGAGTTATAACTTTCAAAAGCCCAACTGTTTCATTGAAATGTTCCAAAAGCGGTAATGGATCTGAGATTTACTGAAAAGTCCACTTGAATTGCCACCTTAAAGCAACATTCTGTGGGTTGATTCGTACCATCGTTATGGTAATTAGCGCAAAGTAAAGACAGATTTTCTGAAAAAAAATTGCAGATCTACAAGTCACGAAATGCCGGAGTAAACATCCGCATTTTGTGACCTCTAGCAGGCGAGTTTTCCTTCCAATCGATGGCCCCTTTTCCTGTCGCCAGCACTTTTCCAAATTGTCGCCTACCAAGTTCGGCCTTTGAAACCGCCGCTTTTAAAGGCATTCGAGCATTTTCGGATGAATTTTCAGCAACCGCGGTTTCTGCATTATTTGCGGGCATATTCTGTTTAGAGGATGTATGATTGATGATTCACGGAAGATGAACTTTACAACTCCAAAACTAGCCAATTATCACAGCTTTCCTCTATTTACACCTTGTAATTCAATGTTTCGCCAAGTCGCATAAGCGATTCCTTTGATATTTTCCCGATACATTAAAGAAGCCTCCTTGTAATTTATTACTGCGAGATACTGGAATTTGCATCCCGTACAAGCTCCCATTTCAGGTGTTTTCGAAGTCTAAAATTTGTTTCGAAATCCCCATCACGCCCGTCCAACTTTCGAATACTTGATGAAGTTTCTCATTTGAGTGTAATTAGAGCGAAGGAGATTTCTCGTTATGAATTGAATCCTAAAGCATGTACCGACTGGTTTATTGAACTAGATTTTTTCCATTAAAACCAACCATTCGGCAGGTTTCCGGGATTATTCGCTGGCATACTAAATGACAGAGTTCCCTTGCTTCGATTAACGCCAATTCCAATTTCCAAGCGATCAGGAATCCTGGCTGCAGCCCCCGTTTCACTAAATTAAACGACAAGAATGTCCCATGGAATTCGTATATATGCAGCTTTTTTGTATGGCAATGACCGCGTTAATTTTAATGCATTTTCCAGTGCTTTTAGCATAAAACTAAACATATCTCACGTAATAAGCCGAGTTAGTTAGCGTTAAAGATTCTGCTTAATAAAGGTAAAGCCATCTGCTAAATGGTGAATATCTAGCGATCAAGACAACAATATAAGAGGAGGCAAATGGGAAAAACCACTGCTCCTCGAAGGTTTTGTAAACCGTATGGGGGCCATTTAACTAAGTATCTTGTTAATGCCTGATGGTTAAACTTCAGATCTGGTCAGGCCAATGGGAGTGAAACCCTAATTAGAAAACTAGCCAACCGTTTTGAAACTAACTATGTAGATAGTTCGAACCCTAAAACGGGAATTTTGGTGAAACTGTTGGTCCCATTCCGACACATTATTCAATGAAGTTATGGGTGGAATATTAAGTTATCTTTTTATTCCTTAAATTGATTGAATGCTTCACAGCAACAGAAAAACTAAAGTTTGCTTGTCCTCAAACAACCATTAGCCGAAAGTTAAGTGGACGTGAAAATAGAGCGGCTAAATAAGGTCTAATTGACACGAGTTGTGCGAAGAAGCAGGAAGAAAAGTAGAAAGTTTTCTCGACTTCCATTAAATAGGGTTTTTGATTACTATCTGTGCATTAGAATCCCAAAACTTAACAGTTCTGCTCTCAAACTGAGTTGACCGAACTGCATTGAAATTTCTTTTATTTTCTAAAAATGCCCCACGTTTAGTCCATTGATTCAGATCTGCGCTAGGGCTATTTAAAGACCTGAATAAGGACCAAAACCCCAGCCTTTTTACAAAATAAGTTCTGTGCTGTTGCGAACGGCTTTTTCGGGTTTATGAGACGGTTCCAAAAACAACCGGTTAAATCTGCTAGCTGTAACTACGGTTTCAGGTTACACGTTTGTAACAATGTTATTTTAGCGGTTACGTTAAATACCGACCACCCCTACTAAGTATCAGAACAGGCAATATATCGCGAACTACCTTTCTTCTTATGGAAAATGGATTATAAATGAGCTGGAAACAAAAAAAACTAAAAACCCAAAGAATAATTAAGTTCACACCAACATTGTCCCCACGTATAGAACACGGTGGCCGGAATATCAGCTCACAACAAAGCGGTTATAAAAGCTGGACGATCTCGTAAAATTTCCAGCTTCCGTAGATATACAGACAACAATGGCCCTATTGAAATTCAGTTACAGATTATGTTGGCTTTCGAAAACGGGGTTTGGCGTTTATAATGCGGTTGTGGCGGTTGCGAAACCCCGCATCGATTAGCATTATGTTACGATAATTATAAGTCGAAAATTGTCATGTTGTTGAGAAGCTTTAGCCATCTTATCATTTCGGTTTCGCCTAACTCGCGTGGATGCAATAAAAAGGCTCTTAGATCATTTTAGAGGAGAGATGTCCTGCTTATTTTGCACGATCGGATCCTACGTGCCTCTTTTACAATCGAGACTATCGGATGGCAAAACTTCCAATCGTTACGCAACCAAACTGAATAAGAAAGATGCTCGTTATTATTTTGCTTGCGCGAACAGATAAAATTGTTCGGCTCAATCGAATTCAATGCACAAAATTTGCATTTCTCGCTAAGAGATTTTTGGAAAGCAAAGCGAGGATTAGAGGAAAATTCGTTTCGAAATCCTATTATAAAGTTAGACCGAACTAAAATTGAGTTCTTCTACGTTCCGTTGGTCAGTTTTGGTGTTACAACTCAAGAAGCATCGATTTTCACTGAGAGGAACGAGGGAAACACGTTTTACATGCTGTCATTGTATGCGTTGGTGGGAACAAAGCCGCCACCCAATAGAAATCGGAGAAGGAAATTCGGAAACAGCCGCCCCTGAGATGTTTGAAACCGTGAGTGACACAAACATCGGGTTCGGAAGCGCCCTTAAAGATGGTCCTGTCAAACTTCCAAAGGGAGCCGACAAAGAACTTCCAACTTCGTTACACAGAGACTCGTGATAAGAGTATCATATACTATTTTAGAGATGGGAAAACAATTAAATTGTCATTTGCAGTTTGGGTTAGAGCAACTTGCAAAACCGCATTGATTGACTGAAATAAGCTCCATGTAAATAGGATCTTAATTAACAAATATTACTAGATAAAGTGCGCATTTCAATGATTCAATGAGAAAAACAATATCATTACAATAAATTTGTTTAATTGGGGTATAGAATATATAACAATGCCTCATTATAATTATTTATGTGGGAATTACTCATTTCTAATGACTTTATTGTCAATCAACTCCAATTTGAAATTTTAATATTGAATTCCATTAACATCGCCGTTTTTTTTTCGTATAACGAAATGGAAAAGTGCGCTAACGAATTGATTTTCGAAACCACCGCCTTTTCTTTGTAGTCGTAACGAATTTATGGAACGAAAAATTGCAAATTGCCGGGCCAAATAAAAGGAGACGGAATAAATAAAATATCCAGGCAGAGGTTCAAATAGACGGTTTTTTTTTGCAAAAGCTTACCGAAGGAAAGCACAGATTCTTTATCTTGTCACAAACAACAACTTCTGCTCTACACTCTACACCTGCAAAGGTTTTGCGAATAATCAATTAATACCATTAAAGTTCGATGCAGCTTTGACGGGTTTCCACAGCAAATGCAACCCATTGTCAGGCCTTAAAATACGACTCTAATTTAGCAGTACGCCATGGATGATGGAAATGCAATGTTGGGAAATTCGACTCATATTTTCCTAATTAATAACGCAGACTTTTTCAATGCACCATAGATCAGTAGAGCGCAAATGTGAAGATAAAATTTCCGCAGGTTTGTGTCCAAAAAAATCAAGAATTTGTTTTCCGATTCATCGATCGTAAAATGTTGATGCTTTAAAGTAGAATTTCGATATGGCCCATAAGGTAAAATAAAACGAGAGCCTTAGCGTTTTTATTATACGGGAAAAACGGCATAACTTCTATGTAATATGCATGTGGTTGTGAAGCTGATGGCTTTTTGATGATAATCGTACTTTCTAAATATTGATTTATGAACAGCTTGACCTATGGCTGTGAGGAAAACCGCCCGATAAGGCAGGAACTATAATTGGTGTTGATCTATTCCAATTTTTGCTCGTTTTCCGGCTCTCTATTTAGAGAGAAATAAGGAAAACTTTCTAAAACTCCACAATAATTCCAGCTATTAATAATGCAAAAGAAAGAATCAGCATGTGATTCGATCCCTAAAATATCCACTAAAGTATGGACAGCACGTTTCTAATTAAACCACCAAGGCTTTGATGCCATTATAGTATTCAGTTTTTCATTTCAAATGCCAGCAAAAATAGATTTTATGCCAGAGTTTGATGCATTAAATACTGCGAATTATCGCCGCAACAACAGCAGGCAAAATTTCGCCAGATTGATTATTGAAAATTTTAGTAATTTCAACGTTAAATTATATGGCAAAATAATTTTCGAAATACTGACCACCAGCAGGCTGCCGAACACGAATTGACGTAAATCAGTATGCAGCCAATATTTTCAATGTTCATTAACTTTGGATTTGATGAATTAAAAAAGTCCATCAAATGCGAGAATTCAACTCACCTTTCACAGCATTCAGCTTGTTTCCCACCATCTGCTTTGCCACAAATGCTGCCATTGTTGCTGATGATGTTGTTCCTCTATATCTGCAACAAAATTATAACATTTATGAATTTCAGAAACTGTTAAGGATTTTGCGGTCAAATTGAGATATTCGGGTTACTAGACCGGCGTCGATTAGAAATTTCATAGGGAAAGTAGAAGAATCTTTAGAGTGTTTTGGACACACCCTTCAAAAAAAGCAGTTTTCAAGACACGCATTATTCTTAAATTTGCGATTTTTTAGGGAAAACCAGAAACATTCCTAAAACGATGTTTGGCATTAGAATAGTGCGCATTTTAAAGCTCTATCCCTCAGCGACAACAAAAGCTCTGTACCTAAACCAGTTCTTTAAATTTAATGTGAGCAAAAGACTAAAACCGTTTACAAAAAATGCATTAATGTTGAATTTCCGCATTTTGCGAGAACTAGAAACATTCCTAAAACAATGGTTGGTATAAAAAGTGAGTCTTTTAAAGCTCTATTCCTCGGCGACAACGAAAGCTATGTACCTCAATCAGTTCTCTAAATGTGAGCAAACGAGTAAGACCGCTTTCAAAACACTTAATTTTCACTCATTAATCTAGAATTTCCGCGTTTTGCGCGAATAGTAAAAACATTCCTAAAACGATGTTTCGCATAAAAAAGTGGACATTTTAAAGGTCAATAACAACGAATGATCCGTACCTAAAACAGTTCTCTAAACGCGAACAAAAGACTATGAGTGGTTTTCGAAGAACGCATTAATTCTGAAGTTCCGCATTTTGCGCGAAAACAAGAAACATTCTTTAAACGAAGTTTCACACAAAAGACGCGCATTTTAAAGGTCTGTCCACCAGGTACAACGAGAGCTCTGTACCTCAACTAGTTCTCCAAATGTCTCCATGTAACCACGCAAATATGAAACTTCTTAAATTCAAGCATTTTTTGAAAAAACTGCCAACATTTCCTTATCGATGGTTCACTTTCTAAAAAGGCCATTTACTTATGTCTAGAATGATGTACAAATGAGCGTTCTTGCTCATTTTGCCTCCGAGAAATGAGCAAAAACGGGAATTTCCTCACTCAAGTTGTTACGACTGAATCGAGTTTTCAATTCTCTATCCAACGATGCCAAAACAAATTCTGTGACTCGAATGGTTCTTGAGAAACTTCGAAAAAAGCAGCGTCATGTTCAAGTGGATTTTGTAACTCAAAAGAAACCACGCAAATCTATAACTTCTTGAATTCAAGCACTTTTTGAAAAAACTGCCAACAATTCCCCATCCATGGTTCACTTTCTAAAAAGGTCATTTATTCATGTCTAGAATGATGTACAAATGAGCGTTCTTGCTCATTTTACCTCCGAGAAATGAGCAAAAACGGGGCGGAAAACATGAAATTTTGGCATAATCTTGAACCTAAGTGTTTGATATTCATATTTCGCCTTCTGGGTCAAAACTACTCGAATTTCCTCACCCCCTTTTTACGACTGAATCGACTTTTCAATTCCCTATCCAACGATGCCAAAACGAATTCTGTGGCTGGAATAGTTCTTGAGAAACTTCGAGAATAACAGCGTTATGTTCAAGTGGATTTTGCAACTCATAAAAAACCACGGAAATCTAAAACTTCTTGAATTCAAGCATTTTTTGAGAAAACTGCAACATTTCCTTATCGATGGTTCACTTCTAAAAAGGCCATTTATTTCTCTTTGGAATGATGTAAAAACGAGCGTTCTTGCTCATTTTGCTTCCAAGAAACATGCAAAACGGGACGGAAAAATGAAATTTTGCAGTAATCATACGCCACCCTTGTACAAAACGACGATAATTTTTCTAATTTCAGACAACAGAAGACTGTATTTTTTCTACATAACCCCCCCCCTCAATTTAAGGCTGGATCCGCCCCTGCCTTAAACGAGGTTTCACACAAAAAGAAGCGCATTTTAAAGTTCAACAAGTTTTCTACATTATGGCAATAGATTAAAAGAGGTTTTCTTGCCACACATTAATCTTGCATTTCTGCATTTTGTATGCGACCGATTGTTGTGTACGCCCACTTGAAGATGCTAGCCATGTGTGCTAGCGAAACGTCAGGACCAATTTCCTATCGGCGACGTCCTAACAACGCGAAAATCACCCATTACTTAGTTTCTAGTTTTGATATAACTGTGTTTTAAACTACACGATCGCTACGCGAAAAGCGTAGACTTTTGCAGTCAATTTAGGATGTTTAGTGGGTAAGCTTCTTGCTGAGTCCCCAAACAGCAGATAAACATAGATAGAAGACGAGTCACATGAATACACCAGGTTAGCTACGATAATGCGATAAACTCAAACCCTACAAATGGCTCCTTTTATTTCCATGGCTTCTTTTGAATTAGATTACCCAGTTGCACAACGGCACTTTAGAAGACTTTGTTCGCAAAAACCGTTTTTAATTATTCCATTTCCGACTCGAACATTCTTAAGCGCCCTCCCGAAATAGTTAGTTCCACTTCCCGCTTGAATTCCTGCATCACAAGGAAACTCCCGTTTTGTTCTGAAATAATGAACCTTAAACACACATTTTGCAGGCAGTCAAGGTGGGCGCGGAAATCGGGCTCAGAGCTCAGCTCAGCCACTCAATTATTTTAATGGTCTTCCTAAGTGCTTTAGCCGCAAAAGCATGCATCTTTCCTTTGTCGAGTGTAGGGTTTAAAATCTTACTTGCGTTGCAGGACTAATTGATGGATTATTTTGAATCTATTGCTCATCCTCTCAACCTTGTCAATACACAGAAAGAAATCCTTTTGCACCAACCAAACGACAATAAATATCCACGACAATTGCCTCATATAAAACCTTTGCTAGACTAAGCTTTTGACTATATGGATTTTAAATTGAGAATCAGGTGTTACATACTGAAGTGCGATTTGCATACTTTATACATTCAAAGGGACGCGATTGAATGCTGCCCCATTCCGGCGGGCCGAAAATTCTTCAGAAACTTTTATATGTTTTGGAAGTTCGTCTAAAGACCGGCTTCCATCCGGTATGCGAACAAAGCATTCTCGCAAAAATTAATAAAACCAGGTGAAGTTGCAGCTCTCTGCTTTCGGGAGCTTGGTTCAGATTTGAATCATTGTTTCCAGCAACTCTTTGAAGTGCATACAATTCTCAAGGATTTTATTCAGTATTTTATTGAGTGCACTCACAGCTAATTTACAAGCTAACCTTTAGCCTCAATTTAAATAATAGAAAGTTCAAGTTTTTAAATAATCGGCTTGAAAAGGTTGTCTATCGACTTGGACCTGAGATGATGTTTATGGCTGTTGGATTGACAAAATATCAGAAATATGGCATTTTTTCTGTTGCCGCACCCTTATTCACTTGGACCTGTTCCAAGGGGGGAACGTGATGAATACATATTACAATTTGTCGCATAGTAACACCAGAAAGGCCTTTCGAACTGTCTCCATTAGCGAGTGCTTTGCCTAAACATCCCCAAACAACGTAAAATCCCGGGAAATTGACTTTCCTTGGCAGGTTTCCGTTAAAAGTGTACATATTTACGTTTCCAGCGAAGAGGAGGAGCAGCAAGACTCCGTTCTCCAGTTCGTTCGAGCGGAAAAAGACACAATTTAATCAAAAGTCAACACGGCACCCGAATTTTCTGACTTCGGTCCGGAAATTTCGACTGAAGCTTTGAAGTTTACCAATGCAAACACAATGATAATGTTGATTACCTGGAGGAGGATGGCACCAAAAATAGAAATATGACTTAACCGACTCACCGAACGATCACTAGCAAGGAATTAAAATGCACTAAACAGAACAAGGATTCTTCCATTAAGGCTAGGTTTTCAATATCCAGCAACCGAGCACCTTTTCCAGTCGGAAACGGGGAAATTCGCGAAATCCGGAAACTGAAAACGACTATTCAATTTCCATTTTAGTCGTGAAGTTGCCCGGGAGCATGAAAACTGACACCAGATCTTATTAGAGTCGCTTAAGCAGGAAGGCAAATCGAATATCGATTTGCTCAATCCTTATACAGGGTGATCCCCAACTCATAAGACCACCATTCAAACATTGTTTAGGCAAAAATATTGCGTTTCTGGTACAAGTTAATAGTTTCTGAGGTACAGGAGGGCGATCAGGTGAGTCAAGTCAGAGGAGTTCAGTTTGAACAATTATTATGAAATGAAATTATTATCTTTCAAATACTTTACTGACTTTCAGAGGTACTTTAAAGTGGTTCTTAACGTGCCTAAATAAATACGGTTTAACGTTTGTTTAGTTTCGTTTTAATGCAAATTTTTGAGAATATTTCTTTTACTTAGAGATCCAATTTTAGCCAGTTCAAAAACCACTAGAAGTTTCAATRTRAACCATCKGGAAAACAGTAGGTACTAGGGATKGTCGGTACTTAACGTAACCGCTAAAATAACATTGTTACAAACGTGTAACCTRAAACCRTAGTTACAGCTAGCAGATTTAACCGGTTRTTTTTGGAACCGTCTCATAAACCCGAAAAAGCCGTTCGCAACAGCACAGAACCGATGCGACACCGTCGAGCATCTATCTAGCTGCAGCCGTTTGCCAATTTAAACCGTTCTTTTTGGAACCGTCTCATGAAACCGAAACAGTTGAGTGCACTTCGCACTAGCTGCAGCCGTTTGCCAATTTAAACCGTTCTTTTTGGAACCGTCTCATAAAACCGAAACAGTTGAGTGCACTTCGAACTAGGTGCAGCCGTTTGCCGATTAAAAGGTTGTTTTTGGAACCGTCTCATAAACCCGAAAAAGCCGTTCGCAACAGCACAGAACCGATGCGACAACGTCGAGTGATCTATCCACCTGCAGCTGTTTGCCGACTTAAACCGTTCTTTTTGGAACCGTCTCATAAAACGTAAACAGTTATGCGCAGTTCGCACTAGCTGCAGCCGTTTGCCGATTTAAACGTTTTTTTTTGGAACCGTCTCATAAACCTGAAAAAGTGGTTCGCGTCAGCACACAACCGATGCTAATCTCCAATTCTCCTCTATCCAATTGCAGCAGTTTCAGTAACC